TAACTGGGGCCGAGGTGGTGGGCGTGGTGGTGGCTGGGGTTATCGAGGTTAGTATGTTCTTTACCTAAAGACTTCGAAAAATGCGTTTGATATTAATTAATTATGAGGAATTGCATCTTTTTAATTTAAACTTAGGTTCTGGTTATGGAAGAGGGAGAGGCGGAGGTGGCAGAGGCTATGGCTATGGCCGTGGACGTGGAAGGATGGGTGGCCGCTCAAGGGGTGGCGGGGGTGGCAACCTGGCATAGTTGGGAGGCGGCATTCTATAACAAAATGCTTGCATTGGCTTTGGCAATTTCCGTATGAAAAGTTTGTTTACATTTCAAGAAATTGTGCCCTGTTTACAAAAGTTGTTAAGCAGCTATTGCTTTCTTTCTTTTCAACATATATGATGATATGATATGTGAACAAGCTATGTTTAAAATGTTTGCTTTTATTGAAGCCAATAGCAAGCAATTATGATTTCTGTGTAATTTTTTCTGAATTATTATTTTATTTTATAATTTTTTTTTTCCAGATAGAAGATCTGTCTCCCCACCCTCTCCTACGTTATTGATTATGTGATTCACATTCTTGATTCTTTTGTTTGGTGCCAAATAGAAAACAGCAAAGTTGCATTATAATTTATTAATTTCATAAACAAATAGATTAATTTCATTAACTATCTGCTATATATTATTCTAGTTAATGCCATATATCTTAATAGAGTTTTAGTACTTAATTATATGTAATAATGATATTAACTCTTATACGAAATTATTCAGTTATTCAATATGTAAGCCTTTAATACTTATGAAGACTTTTATTATTTAGCAAATTTTTTTGGTGACATTCAAAATGGAAAGCATTCCTGAGGGAAGGAAAAATGTAGAATGAGGCATAAATCAAGAAATTAAGGCCTGTTTTCTTATTAAAAATGATTAAAACTAATATTTTTCACTGAAGGGCAATAGAGTATGATTGGAGCCTAGATGAAGTTGGGGACAAATGTCTTTTTTAACAAATATTTTTAAAGGATTTCTAGTTAAAACTATACAAGCAGTCCCACAAAATACACACCATAACAAAGGGCAAAATGTGAACCCAAATTTTAGGCAAACAAACACAAAGTATTCGAATGATGAAGCAACACGAA